CCCAGGTGTCGCAGAAACGTGGATATACCACGTTCAAGTAAGTATGTCTTTCATTACGCAAATAATGAGCAGTGGCTCCTAAATAAGTGGCAAGAGTCCTCATCTCGCCCCAAACACGTAATCTACATATTCAAATGAGTTTTGTGTTTTGCAATGCATTAGACATAGTACAAAAATCATCCAATTGAGCTTTTAGCCTATCACCGTTTTTCTTTACTCGATACCAATATCGAAACCAGAGTATCGAGTATGAAATATCGGTATCCCCGTACGAACGTACTCGATATCAAAAATATCGATCATTTTTTCGTGTCCCTAGTCATCACATAAACCTTAATCAAGTAACCTTTGAGAATAGTGTTTAAAAGAAAAGCAGTTGAGCATTTCCAGCTGCTCGGAAAATGTCTTATATTCAGAACGCTTGAAAATTCAACATCATTTGATATATAAAAATAAATAATTGTATTCTTTTGAATTATTCTAATATGGACTTTGTGTCGTCTCCTCGGCTGCTGCGCGAGTTCGTGACCATGGCCATCCAGTGCTTTGTGTGCCTGTTTGAATGCTGTTTCCTGATTCTGGCGCTGTTCCTGATCTTCCTAATGGGCGGAGATCCTCGCAAGCTGAAGTTCATACGCTTATACCTAAGCTAGGCTAGCCGAAACCAATGGAGGTTCTATTGCTGTTGAGGACCTGTTCGGAAAATTGTTTTGTTCAAAATTGTACCATTTTAATAAATGCGATTTGTTCTTGTTCTACAACAATTTCTTTTCAAGGCGTTGAACATTTATGAGGCCCCCTCCTCACGCTGCGCAGTCGTATCAGCACTCGAATTGAAGCGTTTGCCGTTTGACTAATGTGCCATGTCGTGCTTGCGATTGCAGCGAAAGCAACGCCAACATTTTGCACCTAGCTGGCTAGGTTTGGCGCTTATCAGAGCGCCCTCCCTAATCCAAGCCTTCAAATCAAATGGAGGGCACAAGCGCCTCGACATGGGTTCGAGTTGAGTTGGCAGCGGTAGCAGGTGGAGGGTCTGCTGTTGTTGCTGCCAGCCACATGCCAGATTTTTACTGCTGCCTGTAGATGATGATGATGATGGTGATGATGTTGTTGTTGTTGATGAGGTCGATGATGAGATTCACCTGGCAGACATGCTGGCCCAATATAACGGGTAGCTACTCTCTTCTCTTCTCTTTTCTTTTCTTTTCTTTTCTTTTCTTTTCTTTTCTTTTCTTTTCTTTTCTTTTCTTTTCTTTTCTTTTCTTTTTTTTTTTCTTTTCTTTTCTTTCTTTTCTTTTCTTTTCTTTTCTTTTCTTTTCTTTTCTTTTCTTTTCTTTTCTTTTCTTTTCTTTTCTTTTCTTTTCTTTTCTTTTCTTTTCTTTTCTTTTTCTTTTCTTTTCTTTTCTTTTCTTTTCTTTTCTTTTCTTTTCTTTTCTTTTCTTTTCTTTTCTTTTCTTTACTTTTCTTTTCTTTTCTTTTCTTTTCTTCACTTCTCTTATCTTTTCTTCTTTTGTCTTCTCTTGTCTTCTGTTCACTTTTCTTCTGTTTTCTTCTCTTCAATCTTCAATTTCTAAGTATTACGCGCTGGCCCTTATGGCCCATGCCTTGGGCTTGGGTGGGTGCCTTTCTTTCGATGGGTGGTTGGATGGGTGGGTGGGTTTTTGGCAAGCTGAAAGTAAAAACACATCAATTGGCATGTGCATGGATGGAAATGACACCAGAGAATTGTGCAAAAATGTTATCTTTGGCTTCCGCACCAAGTCCTTCGGATTTACAGTGTTTGCTGTCGTCCTCTGCTGCTTCTTCTACTTCAAGCGTAACAATAACACCAACAACAACAACAGCAATAGCATTGGCAAAAAAGAAGCAGAACGGAACCCATTTTAAATAACTGGCAAAGAGGGTGTGCAAAATGTGCCGCGGACCGTCGCCCTGGCCCCAGCCCACCGTCTCCGCCCCCGCCCAACAATGCGAAATTGCCATAAGATAACTCGACAGGCGGCGCAGACACTAATACACACTCACACTCACACACACACACAGACACTCGCACACTCACCATATAGAAAATTGGCAGTTGGATAAGCGAAAAAACCAATTCACGAATACTTTGCATATATAATATATTCAAAATTTACTGGGGCGCTGCTGCCCAGGCAGCAGGAACTACCCGCACCACCCACTGCCATCCAACCACCCATTTGGGCAAACTGGGCGGTTATGTTGTGCCACACGCGCTAAAGGTAAACATCCTTTTCAGATGCTAAACATCGAGGACGCAGGTCAAATGGCACTGCGAAACGCTTTTGGCGATTGGCATGGGGAAGGGCTGCAGGAAGTGTCACAGGGGCGGAGGGGAGGCGTTTTTGCTTGTTGTGATGTGGCAATGCTGGCAGATGATGTTTGAGTCGATAGATGTGCAAATTTTTGCTGTATTTTGGCACAAGCTGCAGCGAGAAATGAATTGTCTAATCGGATTATAAATATAAGTATTTTGCGATAAAGCTTATGGAGATGGAGAAAATATTTCAGATATCAGGGAGAGTATATGATGAATATACATTTTACCAGAATAAGAATGATTATGTAGCATGCAAATAATTGTATATCTCTTATAGTAATTGAAAAATATTTATATTTATATATTATTTAAAAAATGAATAATTTATCAAAGTCATTCATATAATTTAGCTATACAAATTATGTTGGTTTGTTTTTTTTTTTATACCCTGAACCCATTGAAAATGGGAAATCAGGGTATAATGGTTTTGTTAAAAGTATGTAACAGGCAGAAGGAGGCGTGGCAGACCCCACAAAGTATATATATTCTTGATCAGGGCGACGAGCTAAGTCGATTTGGCCCTGTCCGTCTGTCTGTCCGTCCGTCCGTCCGTATGTATGAACGCGTCGATCTCAGAAGATATAAGAGCTAGAGACTTGAAATCTTGTTCCTAGGTCCGTGTATATCACGTGCATATCAAGTTTTTCTACTACTCCCGATATTTTATTATCGATCAAAAACCTTATCGAAAGCTAGTTATTTAAATATATCTCCTACACCTTTAGAGCTAGAGCTTGCAAATTTTAAATGTAGACTTATATGTATTTTATATAATTTCGATTTTTGTTGTAATTAACCCCCCACCCCTATATTCACCCCCTCACCCTCACCTTTGTAAAAAGCGTATTTCAAGTACTAGAGACATATGCTTTGGAATGTACATACATTTTCTCCATATAATTACGCCCTGAAACTTTCATTAAGATTGTACGTATAGAAATTAAATTATTCAACAAATAAATTCTTATAATGTTACCAACACTACAGCGCAGCCCAAGCGCAGTTAGCAGAGCGCATTCTAATACGTGTGTGTATGTATGTGTGTCGAAAAGAAGTGCAGACTGATTAGAATATCAGATTAGAGGGTTCAGGGTATCTCCTAGTCGAGCAGTCTCGACTAGAGTCTTCTTACTTGTTTTTTTTGTTATGTTTTGATTTAGTGGAGAATATTAACTATCATTATTATTATTTTTTTATTAACCTTATTTGTTTTTATTATTAATTAATTATTACTTTTTAATTTAATTTATTTGTATTATTTATTTATTATTACTTTATATTTCAATTATTATTTATTATTAATTTTTTTTTTTTAATTTAATTTTTGTATTATTAATTAATGTTTATTATTATTATTATTTTTACATATTATTTAATTGTGCGAAGTTTGTTTGATTATGACATTAAAAGCAGACATTAAAAATTAATAAAAAAAATAATTAATTAATCTGGAGAGACCGGGTATCTTGTAGTGAGTCACATTTCTGTTTTACCATTATTACTTTATCTAATTTTGTAAATTAAAGGAGAATAGACTTCACAGCTTGCACAAGTTAAAAACTAGCTGAAGTCACATTTCGATTTTAATATAATTATCTTACTTAAGTTTTATTTCATTTTGCCAGATATAGACCGGATATATTGTAGTCGATAATACTTCGATCTGCCACTCTTATTTGCCGCAATTAGTTTATCATTTACAAATGAATAACTAATTATTAAGAATATGTCTAAGAAAATATTTGCAAAGTCTCAGCACTTGTGTTACTGCCAAACATGGCAAAGCGCCATCTATTGGCGCAGGTGGGTTGGCGGCTTGGCAGTGGGTTGGTCCACCCGCGCTATAAAGCTGCGATTCTCTGCTTCTTATTTGCGCTTTGGCATACTTTTTTATTGTTGTTGGTTGCTGTTGCTGTTTTTTGCACGCTGCTGCGAAATTCGCTTATGATAAAAAATGTTTATATCTCTGGCAGCATGGGCAAGGGGGGCGGCACAGTGGGCGCGGGGGAGGTCGGCGAAGCATCAGTAAACTTGACAGTTGATGTGCAAATGGGGTGTGGCGGAGGCGGCATGTGTGTGTGTTTGTGAGTGTGTGTGTGGTCGACTGTGGGCGGGGTGTTAGGGGTTGCTTAAATGGCTGATAGCGAAAATAAAAGTAACACACACACACACACACACACAGAGACAGCTGTGCCACAGTTGCCGCTGGCCGAAATTGGGCGTCATGTGTTATTGTTGTTGTTGTTGGCACATTTGCTTGGCAGCGCTGAGCGGAAAATAAAAAATGATGATCCACTCACAGCTCAGCGCTTGGCCCCCATGTGTAACGCACCGTTGCGCCGCTTCCTGTGCACGCCAGCCCCCACCCATGCCCACCCACCGCCAGCAGCAGCACCCACACTCCTGGCTGCTGGGCTATTACCGTTAGAGCAGCTAGGGCCCTGCGATACGTTGGTCCACGGATTCATCGAATAACCGTAGGCCCTTTACCATTTCGTTTGAATGGCATCGGAAGTCTTCGCCCGGGCCGCGTCTGATGAACAGTGGCGTCCTTAACAGTCTGTATATTGTACTTACATATACACATACACGTGTATGTGTGTGTGTGCCTCTGTGTGTGGGTGTTTGCGTGCCGACGATTCTTGGTAAGCAAGTGAAGTGTAAAGAGCTCTTTCCTTTATTGGTTTTGTATTTTATTATCACATTTCGTTTATTCCTGCGCTTTACGCCATGTAACTGTCTTACGGTGTGTGTGTGTGTGTGTGTGTGTGTGTGTCAGTGTGTCTGTCTGTATGTGTGTGTGTGTGTGTCTGTGGCGTCCATCTATACATATACTGAAACTTTTTATCATGCATATACATAAGTATATCTCGCATATAGTCATGCGACTGGCATTTTTGATGGCATCCTTGGAGCGCCCTAGGCTTTGATGACACTTTTGCTAACCCACACACACGCGCACACACACATGCACAGGGAGCAATGCCACCCTCTTCGCGTCGCGGGGCTACGTTTACGGGCCATATGGGACTTTGATATGACAACGCAAATATCCGTTATGGGCCGACAGGCACGCACCAACTCGAATCCCCGGCTTCAGGCGTGTCGTACAGAAGGAGAGCAGCAGGAGCAGAGCAGGTGGGGGTGGGGGTGGGGTGTTCTAATGTTGTCATGGACTTGGCCTACGTAGATGGGTTTCTGGGTGGTTGGGCTGGTCTGGTTGGCTTAGCTGTTGCCGAGCAACGTCCGTGCACATATCCCAGAGCAGATCCCTCAAAATGATTTGCCGAATGCGACTTCGCCCACATCCAGTTGAATATCCACTCCATTTGCGATTGCCGCCCATCGCCGACGCTGCAAGGGAAGCTCATATCAATTCACTTAGTTGTATTAATCTTTCATGTAGGCATATTCCCGAGTGTCATTGGACATGGCAAGTCGTTTAGCTAACATAGACACCGAATTAATCAATGACTTATTCATAGTATCGAGGATGATGTTAGGTCTAATATGCTATGATATCCAGTAGGCCAATCGAGTTCACTTAAATTGCCGACAAGTTTTTCAATTATCTTTATTCGATCCATGCAAGAAGCGAAAGAGTATATTGCATGTCTCTCCAGACGTCTCTCTGTTTGTTCGTCTATCCGTCAACCCGATGTAAACTTCAGAGTAGAAACTACAAATGTAAAATAAGTATACTCGCGGGCATTCTCAACATTTGAAAAAATAAATGTATATAATATAATATATATTGCGCATATATGCTTTTAAGTAGAATCTTATATAATTATAAAGCTAGAAACCTAGAGACAAATTGACAGTTGAGTAAATATGGAGCTCCCCTGACGATAAAATCAAGTTCTGTTTTTTTTCTTTATATTGATCTTTATATGAGAGAGCAAGAGAGGGAGAGAGAGAGAAAGAGTGATAAAAAGAAAGAGATAGAAAGAGGTAGAGCGAGAGATGTACTTTTGCTGGTTTTTCTCTTCACTGATCATTATTTGGATTACAAATACTACTATATAAGATCGATGAATTAGCCTGAATACATTACCCTTCTATGACCTTCTTTCAGTAACCTTATACTATGACTAGGATTAAAGAACATTATACTCTGATTTCCCATTTTCAATGGGTTAAGGGTATATAAAATAATTGATTCGAATTGTATTATCTTTTGCTGTTGTCATATTCCATTCTTCTTTATGCAAGAGTGATTGCTTGAGTGATCGATAGTCCGTCGTCATCATTGTGCCATATATCGATAAATATCGATTGTTCACACTATTTATCATTTAACATAAGAACAATAGAATTTCACTGATTTACGTGAGCTCGAGAAATAAAATCAGCTTTTAAAGCTTTCAGCCTGCATTCATTGAATTGCCTAATCAAAGCCCAGTGCCTATTAGAGGATATCTTCTAGTGGAGCACTGCTAATGGGTTTTCATTGTCAGCTAAATGCCCTATTATATTTATATTATATTCTCAGCTTAGTTTGTGGACTTTGGAGTTATTAGCATTAAATTATTTCTCAATCGCACTCAAAGAACTCCTCGAACTGCGTTTGGCTTCATCTTTGTTGTTATTGTTAAATGTTTTGCTTTGGATTTACTCAAAATAGTTTCTACATATTCACCATGAATACATTTATATATATGTATACATATATGTATGTATTAGCGTCTTTGTTTGCATTGGGAAATGCTTGGCTCAGAGCTCTACATATTTACTACTGAATGCTGGCGCTGCTTTGCCATTTATGCAAATGTAATTCAACATTTTTGGCGCTCTTAATTACTCAATTTAGACGGGTGCCCGAGGGGCGGGGCCCCAATCGAGAGCCATATAGAATTGTTAAATGTATGTAATGGAGGCAAGTACATACATACGCCTTTCTATATATATACATATATATGTATATGTATATATCTGCTGGGGGAAGGTTGGCTCTTCGTTAGCTAAAAGAGTTGTGGAATGAGTTGTGGACACTGTGTGTGTGTGTGTGTGTGTGTGAGTATGTGATAAATTTACAGAAATGGCTCAAGAAGTTGTTGCCACGAAAATTGTTTGGCCCTCCGCTCGGCAGCAACTATTGTGACTTTGCCACCCTCGCACGCACACTTACACACACACGCACGCACACACTCACACGCGCATATACAATGAAATTAAAACAAATCCTTTCGTTCCATATTAATGGTCGCCATCTTTGCAGCAAATGACATTCGAAAACATTTATTGCGCCACACACACACACACACACATACGCACACACACATGCGAGCACACCCACCCAGGCACACACGCACACACTCACATATGCATGGGTGTTCGGCTGAGCTGAGCTCGTTCGGCTTGTCTTATATATGACCAACCCAATGGAACCACCCGATTCACCCACCGAACGGGCTGGAGGACAAGAGCCGGGCAAATGCCAACCCCATCCAATTCCCAGCGCCATTATGCACAGCAGCACATGTGTGGTGTGTGTGTGTGTGTGTGTGTGTGTGGCTGTTCATTTGGTATGTAGTAAGCCCTACAGGACACATTCCTCACCCAAGCCGAAAGGGGTGAGCATTTAGCTTCCTGCCCAGCTCCTGTTCGCGCAGCAGAACAAAAGGCAACACAGACGCACACACACATGAGCTGCTGTTAGTGAGTGCGTGTGTGTGTGGGTGGGTGGCTGTGCAGACCATGTACAGTTATTTCACTTTACATTATTTACCATTTCGCCAAACGACTACACACATTCAACTTTCTACTTTCGCCTCCCACTGCCTCCCACTGCCAGCTCCCTCGACCTCATCTCCTGAGCCGCGCTGCGTAAAACTTTCATTTAGTTTTCTAATTACTTTTTTAATCAAGCAACCCAAATATCTGGCAACCCTTTTAGCCAACATATAAGCGCGCTAGTCAATAAATTTGCACGCTAACAACAATCTTAGCAAAGACTGTAGCAGCACCGAGGAGTCTTAGCCATGGCATAGATGTTGTTGTACTTATGGGTGTTAGTGTGTTTTGTATTATATTTTTAAAATACATAGCATACATAAGTATATGCATGTTAGATAACATATAAATAGAGCTATATATAAAATATATTAATGGTTTTGTTCTTAATTTTGTTGTGAAATATGATTTCATCTGCACTTGTGCCTGCTTTTGAATGCTTTCAATTTTTTTTTTTTTTTTGTAGTTATGTATATCTAAATTTGCATATACATAAAAAAATTCATTGCTAAGACGCGGTAGTTCGCGACAATTCGAAATATTTTAAGAGTCCCTTGAATTTCGAAATAACGAGAGTCGACTGTATATAAATTTGTATGAAGTAAAGTAATTAATTAGATAATAAGCAGATAATTAGACTGTATTTATAATATTATTAAGATTTTGTATATTACTATTAGCATTTATAAATATTTTAATATTTAACAGATATTTATTTTATAAAAACAGATATTTTTATTTAAAGACTAAATTAAAAAAAAATAAAAAAATATTTGTGGATACATAATAACATTCCATAATATAAAGAATGTTTGTATATATATTTCTAAGTATACAAATATATTATTTATCTGTCCATGATAGATATGAATATTTTTTGACGTATGCATATATTTACATATAAGTGGTGTATATATTTGGTTTAAGTGACTCTTTGATGAGATTTCTTACGTTTATACTTCACATCTCCCAACAGGGGTCAGTCCTCAAGTTAAGAGTTTATCATCAATTGAATAAATGTTGTTAGGATTGTTCGATCCCCATGTACATAGCTATTTATTTATTTATCAGAGGTTATTATTAATATAAAATTAAGACTAAATTAAGAATCAAGCAACTGGGGCCTGCGGCTTCTCCTGCTGATTATATTGATGACGATCAATCTTTAATTATTGGAATTCTTAAATATATATTTCTACACTTGACCTTTGTGTTTGGATATGTATTTGCGAAATGTATTTTTATAATTAATTTATTTTCAATTCCCATTCCCTTTATAATACGATTCCTACTCTCATTCTCCTATTTGACTCAGTCCTTTTGTATATTCATGTGCTTTATACACCTTTGTATGTCCTGCCTTATTGACTCGACTTGTGCCTTTGTTAGCTCTCGACCGACTGTGCCTAAGCAATTCAATCATTCATCTATCTGTGAGGCTTTCGCTTTTCTCTTGATTCATTTTGTTGGCTCTGGCGTGCAGGGTCCAGTTGCTGTCCCTGTTTGGGGCTGTCGCTCGTAGGCACTTGGGTCCAGCTATGGCGGCCATTTTGAATAACCATTTACCGGACGAATGTGTGTGTGTGTGTGTGTGTGTGTGGAGTCGTTAGCATGGGCAGCGTTGGGTTAAATTAAGTGTTGGCCCTTGTTGGACTTGGCTTCTAAGTGACTGCCTGGCATTTCGCATCCAAGGCGGCCCCGCTCCCGTCTCCCTTCGAGGACCCTCTCTCGCCTGTCGAGCGCCAACTGTCGCGTCTGGGCAACCCCGTTTTCGGATCGTTTCGTTGTGCTGTCATGGCCAAGCAACCCCCAAGTCTCGGCCAGTTCAATTCCCTGGCCGGCTGTCAGTCAACGCGTGGCTGCCCCGTGGCCAAGAAACATTCGCGAGCAAGGAATAAGGTGTGGCGGGTGGTGGGCTGGCCAAGGCAGGCGGAGGTCTGTGGGGATCCAGTGGGGGCCAGCCGTGGAGCAAGTCCCGCAAACTTTCGCTTCGTTTTCGATTCGTTGTTGCCGTCGACGTTGATAGTTATTGAGTTGCCCAAGGCAGGGCAGTGGACCCAAGTATTTCCAATTTCGAGCAGCCCACACCCGCCCGGCTCCAGCCCCTGGGATGATGGGATGACTGGGCGCGCTCGGCAGGAAGGAAGCCAGCTGGGCAATGTAATGTCAATTTGCTTGAAATTGAAATGATTCAAGGGCGAATTTCAGCGTCAAGTGGCAAGTGGCGAGTGGCGAGTGGCGAGTGGCGAGTTGTGTCTGCCACGTTATTCCTGGCCATGGTTTCGGCTAGGACATACAACACGCAGCAGTCAGCAGGCAGGAGGCAGGAGGCAGGAGGCAGGAGGCAGCACACAGAACGCAGGACACGGGCTGACAGTGGTCGTGTATTTATTGTTACCGCTTTTTGCGGTCGCGTCACAGACTCGACGCGCAAAACTTTTTGCTTCCATTTTTGTCGGAAGTGTTGCACAGGCAGCGGGCGGGGGGTAGTTGCTGCCACATTGAACGTGCTCCTGATCCGTAGGGCTGACGTAAAATATTTATTACTTATCCCCAGCATTGGACGACGACCACGGCCATGTCCGTGACGCTTTTGGCCCAAGTCGTTGGCCAGCCACACACACACACACACACACACACACACACACACACACACACACACACACACGCACACTGAGGGTAAAATATGAACTCGCGACCAGTGCACTCTCCCCACCCAGTAATTGAACCCCTCAGCGCCCCCCTCGCTGTTCTCAGCCGTCCTCAGCGGTCCACTGGATGTCTCTTTCCTTTCAGCCAAATCGAGTTGTTTATGTGTCTGGGCACTCGTCGCGGGGGCAGGCGGCTGCTGTTTGCTGATTCAACATTTTGTGTCGTCCACCATTTTGTTTCGGGCAGCTGACCACTGCGACTGCGACTGGGGTAGTGCGGGCAAGGGGTTGC